CTTACAAATTCAGATTCTCTAAATCAAAAAATGAGAAAATACAAAAACAAGAAAAAGGAAAAAGGGAGAAATAGCAACAACGGAAGAGCTATAAAAGTCACTCAGATTTGAATAATCTTCGAAAAATAAAAACAAAAAAAAAAATTAGTTTCCGTCGTTATCAGTGCTGTCGTCTCAGCAACAACTTTTTCTGTTATCCAACGTCAAAAATGATTGAAGATGCGGATACTTCAACGGCGATTGACAGATCTAGCTCTTTTCCGTTCACCAAAGTTTACTAGACCACAAACTATTTTACATCCGCTGTCTGCTGAACACATCGGTTACTGCACTTTAAAGGCCATCGCTAAAACCCTTATGATTTGGAGAAGACCCAAATTTAACAGGCAAATTACCGTAAATTTACAGAGTCATGTTGTTCTCATCTATCTAGTTGTTGCTCAGCTTTTCCTACTTCTAAAGTTTACATTTTTTCTTCCAAACCTCTGACGGAAAATTACTGTAACCTAACGCCTGCGATTACATTTAATTAAGAACATCAAACCTCAAATTATGACTACGAACTGTCCGGCGTAAAGAAATTCTAATGGAACTAAAATGCTCCAATGGCACAATCCGTCAATTCGTTTTTTCTTTTCTTCTGCCTAATTTATGCCTTTGAATTTTAATAAGGCAATAACTGAAACAGAGGCCAAGAATCACAGATTCAAACAACTTTGCTAAAGGATCATATAGAAAGCAATGAACTTTGCTCTGATGGCTAAAAAGACGACTGTTTGTGCAACCTGACCTGAAAACAAAAAACTTTACATTGCTGAAGCGAAGCATTTTTCTAGTAATTATTGTTTCAATTACTTAATTCCCATCTGCTGTCAGCGTCAAACTTGGCTTGAATTGTGGAAGAACCAGCAGAACAATAGCTAAAATTACAGCATCCAAGAGTTACGAAATTGCAGTACAAGTTCCTGTTCAAATATCAAAGAGAAAGCTAATCTTTGTTAACTTATCAACTGCAAACAGTTCTCTTCAACACAGTCAGTGGCAAGACCAAAAGTTACAGGTTAGACTGACAGCTGATTATTTAGGGCTTTTCATTTTCACACTAACATTCTTTCTCTTCTAAGATCACACTCGCCTAAGTACGACTGTACCCCCTCCCCTCTCATTTCATTCCCCCCACTCTCCTGTTTTTGTACCAAAAAATTTATTGATCAACAAAGTGAAGAATAAAGGAGAACTGAAAAAGTCAAACGACGTAATAAGAAAACTAACTTTCATTTGCAATTTTTTAGTAGTCACCTAATATTACAACATCAAATTTGCTAACCTTTGTCCATTGCAATTAATTTCTGTTTAAAGTTTCTTTGCTGTTCATGAACCTCTTCCTAAGAAAAACGCTTTTTTTCCATCTTTTAGCCTGGTTCATACTCCGAAATAAAAGAATCAAACATTTCTATTCAATCTTTCTTTCCGACAAACTACCACAGTTTTACCTCTGCTCATTTGTCCCTAAAAAAAAAAAAACCTTTCTAATTTGATCACTAAAACTGCCCAAACAGTTTATAAACCAATTGCAGTCGTTTTTTTCTTCCTTTTCTTCTTTTTCCTAATAATCGTCAGCTATTTCCAATTTAATATTTGATGTTTTGTTTAAAGGCAAACGGTTTGAACAGATTTAATTGGTTTTATGGTAGTAATTGCAGTGACAGAAACAAACAAATAAACACAAAGAAACGACGACGACCGTCCCATCCTTTCCGGTAACTTTTGCCAAAACCGAATCTGCTGTTCGCCAACATTACACCTTCAAATTTTACTGCAGTTTTACAACCACTACAGAGTTTTCATCTGGGAACTTTCGCCAACCTTAAGTTAACATTGTTTTACAAAACACGCATAGCTTTTATCACACGAATCAAAACAGAACTTAAGTATCAATTGGAACCTCTCATCACAACCACCAAAATTTAACGCAAATCATGGACACTTTAGTTTTTGCAAAAATACACCAGGAGACTGCAGTACAGTAACTAAAGAGATGCAGCCAAGCAGGTTCCAAAAATACCAAACGGTTACTTTGAGAATTAATCTGTAGCTGACCACAGGAAATCCTCAAATGTCTAAATAAAACAAAGTAGACTTTAAACTTTGGTTAAAAGAATTGGTTGTTTTCAGAGACAAATCACCAGCAAATTCCGTCCTCCAGTTCCGGAATTGGTCAGCCGACAAACGCCGGTGACGCAACGTCCCTTTTTTCTTTTTAATCAAAACAAACCATTGCAGCCGATGACGAAATGCCACAGAAAAGTTCATTACACTTCTTCTCGAGAACAAAATCAATACCGAGAAATCCCAGCAAGTAAATTAGAAATTTGATGAGAACCGGAAACAAAAAACTGTTTGATATTTGCGTGTTATTTCTTACCTTTGACCGTTATGAAAAAGAATACACACAAAAAAAAAAAAACACCGAAACAGTCTTCAAACAGAATGGCCTTAGCAAAAATTTTTGCCCAATCAATTACACAACAGAAACTTGATTTTCAGTCATTCCCTGCACAGCAGCAACCAAACAAAAACAATATGAAGAAAAATTAGCCAGATATTTTTTTCTAGTATAGACAGTCCGTAATAAATCAAAACTGCCTTTACTTCAGTGCTCAAAATTTGTTTTGCGGAACCATTCAATGTCCAAATAAAATTTAACATTCACTCAGTTGTTTCTATAAGTCCTCCACGACCCCATAGTCAAAAAATGTATTTCCTTTGCTGCCGGTACTTCAACGGGAAACAAAAAAATCCAGATCAAACTATTTGAAAACAAATAAAGTGACAAAAAAATATATGGGTAAATTAAGTTGCAGTGCATGACTTAGAAAGACCAAATGTGAACAAAACCCGCAACAAAATGCAGCAAAAGATCACAAACTGAAAAACAAAAAATAACTTATTCGCAATTCTTACCAAAAGGAACAATTTCCAAACACTTATACAGATATAAAATTACCAAAAAATCCAAATAGTCGCTTAAATCTGCCACAAGCGCGCTCAAAAAAGTAGATCTCAAAGTAAAGAAAATTACTAACTGGGTTTTCCAAAAACATGCAGTACCAACCTTCACAACTGTACGCAACTAAAATACCTTAAAGGACAACTGTGTCCCTACATTACTGCAAAAAAAATCCTAAATAAAAGATTGACCTTGCTTCATAATGAAGAGGAAATTATAAACTATTAAAAAACTGGAAAGACTGCAGCGTAGAACCATTCATTTTTTTCCCCGCTTTCAACGAAGAACCAAAATTTTGGCATGGTCACCCACAAAGAAAAAAAAATCTTTGGCTTAGTGACTCGTTAGTGAAAAATAATTTTCCTTTGGCAAAAATGCATTCATTAAACTCTAAACTAGCTAGTATATTACTAAGAACTCATGTATTTGCAAATTACTGAAGGATGCTGAGCTTTTTTCAAGAATGGATGATGCAAGAGTTCAGCAGCTGAACTTCGTTGTTCCGGATCCCTCACAAGCAGATGAGATACAAAGGAGTTCAGTTCTTCGGACACCTAAAAAAGACAATAGCTGCAACATTACTACATTGCCGAGAAAGAAATTAAAAACCAAAACTCCAATTAAAATGTAAAAAGAAAAAATTAGCAAAGCAGAGAAATAACTCTAGCTATTAATCTGTCATTTTAATTCACTTGTAGCATAGTACAGTATCAAAACAATATGACTTGCTTTTGCAATACACAATATATATCCCAAAAAAAATTAAAAACTTAAAAGTTTAAAATATAATTGATTTAACCTTTGCAGATGGGTGGAAGGTTGCAGGAGTTGAGTCACGAATATGACGCATAGCCTGCAGGGGTTGGACGTCGAAAAGCGGAGGTTCTCCCTGGACCATTTCAATCACCATAATGCCAAATGACCACATGTCAGCCTTTGTACCGTAAGGTAAGCGACTGATCACCTAAATTTAAACATCTTAAAAAATGTGATATTAATAAAAATGCGAGGAACCCCTCAAAAAATTATCTTTTAACCTCAGGAGACATCCAGTAAGGAGTGCCTACAAGGCTTCGTCTTTTTGGGACTTCAGCAGACAGCTGGCCACAAAACCCAAAATCAGAGAGCTTGACTGTTCCATCTTTGGCAAGCAATATTGAGTCACTTTTAATATCTCGATGCACGACACCTTTTGAGTGCAAATAGTCTAGGCCTTTCAAGCATTGTAAACAAACGGTCGCAATAGTTTCCTCATCAAGTCTGAAATGCTTTTTTTAATGAAAGGAAATCCACAAATAACAGAATACTCTTTGTAAAAGTAAAAAAACATCATGAAAACTACTAAGCATTTTAAATGAGATAACCTCGTTCTTGTGATTATATCTGTTAGAGGACCACCTTCCATGTATTCCATCATAACCCATAGCTCACTGCCAATAAGATAAGAGCTGTACATCTTTACAATATTTGGATGTTCGTAATCTCGCATAACTACCACCTGGTCAAAGAAAGGTTGCGCATTAGTTCCAAATTTATTGATGTCAGTTGTCCCAAGAAACAAAAAAAAAAAGAAAAAAAGCTTTTCATACCATGTCTTAACTTCTTCTGGGTCATATTCATAGCAATAGTTTTTATAAAAAATGAAAAACCTTCAATTTTTTATCTGAGTTCAAGTAAGAAAGAATAAGTTCTACTTCTAAATAAAAATACCTCCCAATTTTAATTTGTCTGAAAAACCTACCTCGTGAAAAACTTGAAGAAAAAAGTAGTAGCAAACAACAGCCAGTTTTCAATCAAGATTTCAATTTAAAATCTAGAAAGTTGAAAAAATTACCAGCAGAACTGAGGTAATTTAATCGCAAACAAAAGTGCTTTCACTCTTTGTGCTGCTCTCTACAGATATCTCAGTAAATTAGTTAATCATTCCAAAAAATGACCAGTTAATCAAAAAAGAAAAGAGAACAACCTCATTAAAAAGCAACTCTCTTCGTTGTTGTTTCAAAAAGTCCATAATCTTGATTGCAACTCTACAGCCCAAAGAAACCTGTAAACAGATAATGTTGTCCAATACCAGTCAAATTAGATAATAAAAGCTGTACAAAAAGGCAGGGCTAATAAAAGTAGCTCTACTACTGTCAAAAAATAGAGGACTGTATTAAAGCAAAAATTAGTTTTGGTTAATAAGTTCTTCCATTCGTTCTCTAAAAATACCTTCAGGGCAGTCATAACAATTGCAGTTGAGCCCTCTCCAATCTGAACAAAATCTTTTAAATCTCCTCTCGGATCTCCTGGACACACGACAGCACTCAATGCTGCCCGGAACTGAATTAAAATATAAACAAATAGAAATTCGAAGATTATAAAGTAGATTAATATATGTGACGCTCGAAACTAGAAAAGCAGAAATAAGAACTGAATGAAATAATTGTTACTACCTAAAAAATCTAATAATAACCAATTCGCTTAATGTGTCGTCAGAGAGGTGTTAAAAAATTATAAAACAGCATGACCAACTAATAGTATAACAGTACTTGATCACTTGACAGCCTCTCTTTAGCTTCACGTTGCTCAACGCTTCCTACTTCAGAACTTTCGGGAGCAGGACGATATGCTGCAGCCTCACAAGCAGTTATTCCTTCATTTGTTTTCAAGCATTCATTGACCACCAGATCCTTTGTAAAAGCCTTCTACAAAGTTAGCTGAATGGAAAACAAGTGCTGGAAATCTCAAATGGAAAGGATACAACCGAAAAAGCACTAAACTACATTATTACAAAAAGACTGCAAAAAAACCTTATAAAAAATTTAAAAAAGAAACTGAAGAAGATAGTACAAAAAAGGTAAGGAAGAAAAACAATGTAATTTTGCAGTAACTATTACGAATAACAGAGTTTTGAGTCATTGATAACTGTGAATCAGTAAAACCCAACGGTAAACATAAAGCGCAAGAAAATAATCTAAAAACATTAAGGATGACTTCGTTACTTTGGCAATACAATTTAAAAGTTACCGACTCAAGCTGCTGAGGGTTGTTCAGTGGTAACGAATTGTTCAAAGGAACAGGAAAGCTTCTATTATAACCTGCTTTCTGGCCATCACCCTCCGGTAAATAACGCAACGGGGTACAAGGAGGTCCAGCTAAAAATTCCCAACCGCTGAATAAAAACTCACGAAGAAAAAGCTCACAAAAATATTAAAGTGAAATTAGACTACAAAGAACAGAAAAATGGTAAAAACTTTTGAAGCAAAGAAATCACAGAAAAAACAGACAATTCCTTGATTTCTCGCTACAAAGATGACCTTGCAACAACGTATAATAAACGCCTTTCAGCTTTTTAAGTCCAGACTAAAACCAAAAACCAACATCATATCTTATTTACAAGATTTGAGCAATAAGTTTCAATTCAGCAATAAAGTCAGGGTTGATGGCTACACAGTAAGATAAAATACACATATAAGATCACTACAAAATGCACAATGCACTTTTCCACTTCAACGGGTAAATACCTATGGCGATTAAACGAACCACTTTCGCAAAAAAATCCGGTGGAGCTGCTCGGCATGTTGCTATGGCCAGCCAAGTATGGAAGCACCTCTGTTGCTGGTTCCGGGCCTCTTTTCGGTAAGCGAAAACTTAAGCAAAAAATCACGGAAATTGCCTTCAAAAATGTTTAAGGCAAAGATCTCTAACGCAACACTATTCCTACTCCAAAACAGAACTACAAGATACGGTACCAACTAGCCCTAAAGAAAATGAAAGCAAAGAATGCAGAAGATGGTACTGAACACAAATCAATACACATCTTATAAAGCATAATTAGCCGATTTTTTTTATAAACTAGAAAAAAATGGGCCCTCAAGACTTCATCACGTAAGGACGTCTACCAAAATAAATAACCTTACGCCGAAGAGTAGAGAGAGTTATTTTCAGGCGGCTTTTCGTAAGAAGTTAACTGCGACGGCTGAGGCTTAACCATCCTGATATTGTTGCTTCGAATTGCGGTAGAAACATGCCTAAAATAAAGTAAGCCTTAGCCGGTAACTTTCAGTAAACCACATGTACTTGATCAGCAAGAACCAATTAACTTCAATTTTAATGCTAAACACTCCTAATATGATACATGAGAAGAAAACCTATCCCCCTATGAAAGATTCTTACGTTTTGGAGTTACCCAT